TTCATTATAAATTTTTATTTTATCATAATAAAATTTACTATACGAGCACATAACCCAACAATCTGAACCCCATTAATTAAATAAATAAATAAAAAGTTGAAGTATATTTAGAGTTTAATAATGCTGCAGGTATAGGCTAGGAATTAGGGAGAGTGCGCGAGGTTCGAATGCATTTTTGAAATTTTTTATAAATATTTTAAATTATAAATATAAAAAAATAAGTTGTGAATAAGTAAGTAGTACTTGCAGATGTTATAAAGATACGAAGAAATAGTTTGAATGAGTATAAATAATTTGTATATTTTAGCCAAACATGGGCTTTGTCACAAAGTAACACGCAACACGTGTTAAAATATTCTTTAATATCATTATATTTCTTCTGAGTTATAACAAAAGAAAACACTAAGAAGTTAGTTTAATCCGTTTAACATGTTGACAGAAAATCCCGACGTATGCAGCAAAAATAAAAAAAGAAATAAAAAAGAAAATTAGTCAGAAAGGGGAAAAAAAATACTAATTTAACATGGTTCGACAAATCAACTACCATTGAAAAAGAATACTTTATTAATTGAGAATTCACTCAACATAATATTTTTCCCTCTTTCACAAGAGTAGTGCTTGATGTACGGTTGAAAACTGTTAGGGGACATACATGGGCAACTTAGCATTTTTTCAATGGGAGATGGAAAAAAAATGACAATCATACAGATGCTGCCAGTGCTCACTTGCGACTGTCCGAAAGGTATTCCTTTGGACAAGGGGAATAACTTCTTTCGTAATTTCTCATTAAAAATAGAGCAATTAACGTATACCATGATGCGTGTATACCGTTTTCTCTTAGATAATTGTCACTTCTCTCTCTCTCTCTCTCTCTCTCTCTCTGGAAGAGGTCGGTAGGTATTATATGATTCGTTTGAGATGATAAGTGAGCAATGTAATCTGATAGGGATCATAAAGGAAAGCAAATATGTCTCATGAGGAAGCATCAATGAACAGGTATTTGCAAAAATTGAGACATTATCGAAGCATATGATAGCACCAAAACATTCTCAATTTAGTTAATATGGTTCAAGCACCTCTTGGTGTGCAATATATGGTGTGTGATTATCAATCCTTAGAATTTTCTCCGACTGAGTAAGTCGCTTATGCTCAAAATTTTCAATGCCCGCAGATCAACCAATGTTTACAAACATACAATTCGAGTGTGAAAAGTTATCCTAACTTCTCCTATAGTCCCTACCAAATAAGGGAAGCTACAGGAAAAGAAAGGAGGATGGAAAGATGCTCTAAATCAATAGTTGAAATCAAGCCTTAAAAAAAATTTAGAATAGACTGGAATACTGTTGTTGCAGGGTGTCAAGACCAAGATTAAGGCTTGTTCGGTAGTAATTTTGAGAATTGATTTTTTGATCGTTATAGAAAAAAATGGGTCTTGCCTGTAAGAGAATAAGTAAAAAAATAATGGCTGAAATAGTGAAATAACAGTCAAAAAATTAATTTTTTGAGATGAAAAATCAATACCAAATATACACTGAGTATAAAAATTTCTGTTCCAAATGGGATATTACTCTTACAAGTAGAACTTGGCAAAATTGGCTAGTAGAATAAATAAATTTTTATACTCTTTTTTTAATGCTTTTCAGTTATGGGCATTTTAATTTCTTATATTTTTACCATTGTTCAGTGGTGTCTTTTACTTACCTAATATGAAATAAGTACATCATTGGTACGGCAAGCTCCTGTTTGGTGAAAATAAAAAATCAGATTTTAATTTAAATCAAAGTCAATAATTAATTTTAACCACAAATTTTATAGGACTCACAATTTTTCAACCAACTTTTATCAAAATATATTAAAAATCTTATTATAATCCCCACCAAATAAGAATTAAGCATGTTTGGCAAATTTTAAATTTAAGTTTGTCAAACATACTTTTTATTCACATATTTTGATAGAGAGCTTCCCACTACTATTATGCTTAGTTCTTTGAATCAAACGTTGAATGAAATCGAGCTAAAAAATCCTCCGACACAAGTTCTAGTTGTTGCATGCGAAAAGACAAACACCATTCGCATTTGATTCATTCTGAATCGGCAAGATCCATTTTTCGTAGGATACACAACTTATTATTCATACATTCAGTATTGTCCACAACTTATACGATTTTACTTATTAAAATAATGGGCTTTTAAGCATACCCAAATATCTATGCGCTTCTCTACAAATCAAGCCTTAAAAAAAATTAAATAAATAAATAAAACTTTATTCTTTTGCTTTTAACTGTAAAATTACTCAGTTGAAATGCAACCCTTGTTCAGGCTCCATTAAAATTAATTTTTAGGAAAAATGTATTTTAGAATAGTAATTTTTTACGACTATATAGTTAAAAGAAATTTGCATTTATATATAATATTATTTTATTAAAAATACGTATTAAAATTTTAATGGAGTCGAAAATGGGATTTAACACTTATGTTACCCTCGGAAGGGACACGCTAGTGTCCAAAAACTAAGACCGACAGTGACGAGCATGGACCCAACGGGCTTGTCCTCTTCGGTCAAACTCCAGAGTCAGTCAAAGCAGCTCTGTCCGCATATGGCCCGCTCGCTGCAGGATAAAAAAGCGGAAATACGTTCGCTGACGTGGCAGTTTATTCTTTTGCTTTTAACTGTAAAATTACTCAGTTGAAATGCAACCCTTGTTCAGGCTCCATTAAAATTAATTTTTAGGAAAAATGTATTTTAGAATAGTAATTTTTTACGACTATATAGTTAAAAGAAATTTGCATTTATATATAATATTATTTTATTAAAAATACGTATTAAAATTTTAATGGAGTCGAAAATGGGATTTAACACTTATGTTACCCTCGGAAGGGACACGCTAGTGTCCAAAAACTAAGACCGACAGTGACGAGCATGGACCCAACGGGCTTGTCCTCTTCGGTCAAACTCCAGAGTCAGTCAAAGCAGCTCTGTCCGCATATGGCCCGCTCGCTGCAGGATAAAAAAGCGGAAATACGTTCGCTGACGTGGCAGGTCAGGCCAGGCCCTGATATCCACAAACATAAAGGTGACATCTGTATCCTCTTTTACACTTGTTTGGCGAAAATAAAAATTAAACCCCCGTTTGGTACCCATTTTTTTAAAATACATTTTTTTAAATCACACGTTCTTTATTAAGCCCTTTTTTGAGCCCCATTTTTGTCAAGAAAATAAATTTTCGAATGGTGTAATGATGTGAAATATATGATTAAAAAATAAGAAAATGTTTTAAATTTTCGTGTAATATTATTTTATTGAATAATGTATGGTTGAAATAATGTCAAAATACTGTTTAAGAATGTATTTTTTTTTTTAAAAAAAAAGGGACTCAAACAAAGGCTAAAATAATATCACACATAAATCAAAAACTTTTCTTTATTTTTCAACCATGTACTTCTCATCAAGTTATTATTCTAAAATGCAATTTTACATAAAAATGCCTTTCGAACACCTCCTAAATTTTTAGTAGATTTTTATAAAAGTTGTTGAAATGTGTGGTTGAAAAATTATGAATCTTATAAAATATAATTAAAATTAATTGTTAACTTTAATTTTGATTAAAATTTAATTTTAATTTGTACCAAACAAGGGCTAAATATATCCTAACTTGAAATTTTACTAAATTATGGTGCAAACCAAAGAACAGCTAGATGTACATATGGATGTATTTATAGTCCGTTTGGTACGAATTAAAATCTTATTTTAATCAAAGTCAAAGTCGAACAATTAATATTAATCACATTTTTCCATAAATTCCACAACTTTTCAATCATACATTTAAAAAGCTCCTCACATAATCTACTAAAAAATTTAATTTTAATCCCGACCAAAACACTCTCTTAAAATTAATGGTGTAAATTAATGCCGTACAGAAGAATGTCAAAGTTAATAATCCATACTGTACATGTATATGGTTGGCACTTGCACTCTCCACAAAATCTTCTTTCTCGGAGGAGAAGAAAAGCTGAAACAAGGAGAGAGATTCACGTACTAGTGCGATTTATTTTTATTGTAACGAGGTTTATCTTTTGATTATCCATGAAGATTTTAAGGTATATTTTATTTTATTTTATTTATTTATTTATTTATTTTTGTGTTCTTTCTCGGTTTTGCTATACATAGAGGCGTTTCATTAGAAATTCTGAAATTCCATACCTTTAAGTGTTTTTTTGGTCAAAATGTTTCTTTTTTGGGGAAGGGATAAAAGTTAGAAGAAGGAAAAAGATAGAACTAAATGAAAATGATTGAGAATTAAGTTAGGCCTTTGTCTGGAGATTAAAATCAGATTTTTAATAAATTTTGATAAACGTTGATTAAATGTGTGATTGAAAATTTGTGGATCCCATAAAATTAACTTGGACTTAGATTAAGCTTCCATTTGGGCTCCATTTTAATTTCAATACATTTTTCAATAAAATAATATTACACGTAAATTCAAAAAATTTCTTCTTTTTTAACCAAACTCTTAAAAAATTACTATGTCAAAATACATTTTTTTCTCCTTAAAATCTCAATAAAATGGAGCCGAAGCCAGGGTTAAAATCTTTTAATTCTTACCAAATAGGGTCAAATATATCATTAGCAAGGTTCAATTTCTTCTTGTTGATACTCTAATTGAAACACATATTTTATAAATTATTAATTTGAACGAAGCTAAACCAGTACATGAAGTCTTTGTAACTCGAGCAATTCTATTGATAATGAGTACTGTTATTTATCACAACTGTTGTTAAATATCAGTTTATGTGACAATTACACATCTAATGATAGATTCATTTAAATACAAAATCACATAACCTTTTTAATTAAATCTATAAAGTGTAGTCAACTAGACTGATATTTAGCATCACTGATGTTAGATTACATTATTTATTAATATTTAACATTCTATATCCCTCACTCCTCTAAATATTATGAATTAATCTACTTGTACAGTTGTTGCTAACAATAATGGATGACAACAATGATGGTGTCAAAATCTGGTCCATTAATTTTAAAAACAGTTTTTGAAATGAATAAATATGATGTTGACAAGTATAATTATCATTCAATATTTTAAAAAATGATTGTCCAAGTAACATGATTCAAATATTTTTCTGACTTGTTATGTCAGCTTGAAATGGACCTACAATTATATTTTATTTGCATTCTTTGATGCTTGGTCATTTTCTATGAGTGGACGTAGTTAGGCTTTGGAGAGTTTTGATAGGTTGCAGAGGTATTTCGATATAATTGGTGAATAATTTAATTCATGTAACTTATCGTGAACTTATTTATAAATTAATTGATATGTCAAGTCGACAATACTTCGAAGATCATTTCTCTAACTTATAATCCTTTTTTTCTCATCATATAAAAAATATTACTTATTTCAAAGTAAGGCACTATTGTTTGATTATTCAGTTCTTAAAATAAAAATAAGTTGATACCCTTTGACAGCAATTATTTCCCCAGATCTCATCTAACTTACTAAAAATAAGTAGGATTATCTGAAAGCCAGATTATAAGAGTTTACATATATTTAAGTTAAAGCCAATAGACAGAGATCTCAAATGCTCAATAAAACTGAGCACATCTCTAGTTTCTCTTTCTCCTTTACCTACGTTTCATCAAAGATTGATGATAATAAAATGAGAGTTAGTCGATGATCTTCTTGAATAGATCTGGCGAGGTGAGGCGATGGCTAAAGAGCCGAGGGAGTACAGGAAAGGGAACTGGACAGTTGAAGAAACAATGGTTCTTATAGAAGCAAAGAAAATGGATGATGAGAGAAGATTAATGATCAGGCATGGCGGAGAAAGCAGTAGTGCTCATGAGAGAGGCAAACCAGGAGAGTTAAGATGGAAACGTGTGGAAGATTATTGCTGGAAAAATGGGATTTTCAGAAGCCAAAACCAGTGCAATGATAAGTGGGATAATTTGATGAGAGATTTTAAGAAAGTGAGAGAGTATCAGAGGAGAGTGGTGGCGGAGAGAGGCGGCGGAGAAGAGAGATCTTATTGGAAGATGGAGAGGAATGAGAGGAAGGAACACGGTTTGCCTTCAAATATGTTGCCGCAGATATTTGATGCATTGGTCGAGGTCGTGGAGAGGAAAGACGTAGTGGGTGGCGGGATTGGAACTTCAAATGTCAATCCTATTCAGGCCATCGTGGCTCAAACAATGCCTTTACCCCTACCGCCACCGGCGCAACCACCTACCCACCCCTTTGCTGAGCCGTCGTTGCCCACGGCGGGTACTCTCTTTCACATATTTCTTGAAAAATTTCTAAATTTTGTAGGTGACGACTAATTATAAACTGAATGTTATTTCAGATTCTGATACAAGTGGGCATTCAGACTCGCCAGCCAAGAGAAGAAGAAGAAGAGAAGGAGAAGGAGAAGGAGGTGAAGGCGGTGCCGCCGCGGGTGGCAGCAGTTTGCAAGAAGTTTGCAGTGCAATTTCCCAAAGTGGTTCCATTATAGCAGAAGCAATTCATTCACGTGAAGAGAGAGAAGAGAGAAGACACAGAGAAGTGTTGAGTTCGCATGAGAGAAGACTGCAAATTGAGGAGTCAAATGCTCAGATTAACAGACAAGGAATCAATGGCCTTGTTGATGCCATTAACAAACTGGCAAATTCTATTATTGCTTTGGCTTCCCACAAAAACCAACCAGATTCTAAATAATTATAATCATATTAATTAAACTATAATTTTTATTTATTAATTTTAGAATTTAATTATCCCAATTGTTTGCACAGAACTATATTTATGTCATTCTGGATGCTATGGCGATTATGCTTGTCGATGCATTTCATTTTTGTGCTGCCATACTCAATTTCATGTTTGCCGGTAATAGACATGCACGAACTATGTTAGTTATTTAGGCGGCCAGCCAGACGGCTTTATTGCGGTCGAAGGGATTACTTTTACTTAAAATGAACACGAGTTTAGCTCTAGTATTCAATAAGAGATAAATCGAATTCATTGGACACGAGCACCTTTTAGGGTTCGAATTATAACAGGTGAGTTTTCGAACTTGATAATCTATTAACGGAGTAAGTTAGTTGTTTAGTATTCAATGTGATTGATCCTTCTCCCATCATACCATTGGTCGAAGCGGGCTTCTCTTGAAATAGCTTGAGCAACAAGATTTTTCAAGATGTTAATGCAATTTGAGATCATATAGAAAAATTCTATGCAAAGATTGAGTGCTAATACACACATTTTATAGTGTAGTGCCTACTAAGTGTAATACAACAAACCAAAGTGTGGACATTTTCTTGTACGCCAATTGTTCTAACCCCATTTATAATGGAATGGGATTATTATTCACAATTTAAGTACCAAAAGTTGTGAGTTTTCATGCCAAAATAATAGTTCTCGAGCCTTTCCAATCTAAGTGTTCCATACGAATTTAACACTTTCTTTTGCCCTCTTTTCTCTCTCCCAATTGCTAGACAAAAGTCATGAGAGTTGTTGAGAGTTATAAGAGTTAATTGGGTTTGTGAGAAGTTATGAATTATGAGTTTGAATTCTATTCAAACCGTTCCTTCCAATCCATTTTAAGATCTTGTGGTTCGGATCACCTCATATGGCAATCCACATCCCATATTTTCCAACAAATTCTAACCAGATTAACAAATATTCAAACCTAGCCATCTTGACTCTTCACATGACCAAGACTTGTCTCTGCATCTTTACTTATACATAGATTTCGAAGATATCTGAACTAAAATGATAACCAAAAGGTATCTTGTAGATGAGCTATTGGCTCCATATTCTATACAGTGAACTAGAACCGAGCCAAATGGTTCCATAACTAAAATTCCTAAGTGAGCGTAAAAAAATGGCTAGTTGTTCCATGTGGTTGGGTTCATTTCTTCATCTATTCCCAAAAAAGGTTAATTGGACCATATATGTTCTTGGTTTTGGGTATTAGAAATGAAAAATCTTCTACGTTCTAATACAAAAAACTGTTTAAAATTGAAGCAGAGTCGATCGAATTGAAATGAACTGTTCGATTTGATTTGATTTTCTTCTAGTTCGACTAGTTCTGATACTTTGCATTCCCTTTACATCCCTAATAGTTTGCAAATAGTTCAAATCCATCTACTGGTAACTTATTTTCCAATATATTTAATGATAAGGGGCATAAATCTAGTGTGTACTATTTTAATGATTTTGTAAATAGAAAAAAAGAGTGTACTATTTATGAGAGTTTAATATCAAAGAATTGTGAAAGAAAGTGTATGTTTGGTAGGAATTTTGTTAATTGATTTTTCGATCGTTAGAAATAAAATGAGTTCTATCTGTGAGAGAAAAATTCAAAAATATCAATTAAAATTGTTAAATAACGATAAAAAAATTGATTTTAATTAAATTTTAAATTGTACCAAACATGCTCATGTAATGGAATCGGAAAAGGACTGGTCAAAGGTGGCAGTGAATGATGAGTGGGGTTGGCTATTGGACTGGCATTACAGAATGGCCATTTATGTGTTATTATTGGTGTCAGTGTATATGAAGACTCTGCAACTCTAAAAGCCTGCCTGGGCTTTTATTTTCTCATCACAGGCAGGACTCAAAACTGACCAGTTATTAGTGGCTAAAATTAAATTTCGACTTCTTTTTATTTTGTATTACTATTTTTTTTATTCTCTGACAAAAGGATTAATACGTATTTTAACTTTTTGTCTGAGCTCTTGTTTGATTCTCACTCTCTCCAAAATATATTAAGTCGTTTGTAAAGGATTCCACTCGTCGCTCGATAAAAATTGTACTTCAAAACGGCCAACACAGGACATTCATTGCGAGGGCTTGGCCAACGACATGTACCACTTGGGGCCGTAAGGCCCCTACTGCGGGTCGACAAGCGGACGATGGGTGCGTGCATCGCTTCCAGCCCGAATTCTGACTTAGAGGCGTTCAATCATAATCATTTTCTTTTGTATTACTGTATTTTTTTTTTCTCTAACAAAAGGATTAATGGGTATTTTAACGTTTTGTCTAAGGCCTTGTTTGATTTTCACTCTTTCCAAAATATATTTTTTTCTCTCTTCTTTTCAACCTCATATTATTTATTAAAATAATATTACACGTAAATAAAAAAAATCCTTATTTTTCGAGAACACATTTTCCATTAATCTACTATTCTAACATGAAATTTTTCGTAAAATGGGGCTCATACGCCCTCTTAATCCCATTCGTGAAGTGAAGGGCAGATAAACAGGCACGTCACTGTTGAATTGTACATACAATAAGAAGAAAAGAGAAAGAAAACATAATTGAATTTGTGCTTGCTCAAAAAACTGATATGAAGGTTTGAAATAGGAAAGGAATCTTTTGAGGCTGATAATGGGGTTGCATTATTAACTGTCATTTTTATGTGTACTATATTAAAAAAAAAATTATACTGTAAGAAAATATATGAGGGTAATTGGCACAAAACGTCCCTACCTTTCAAGTCTATTGTGGAAAACGTCCCTACCTTTTATTTTTTGGCATTTTTGCCCTTATTTCAACATTTCTTTGCGCTGGACGTCCTTCCATCCATATTCCGTCAGTTTTTCCGTTAAACATTCGGGTAATTGGTACAAAACGTCCCTACCTTTCAAGTTTATTGTGGAAAACGTCCCTACTTTTCATTTTTTGACATTTTTGCCCTCATTTCAACCTTTCTTTGCGCTCGACGTCCTTCCGTCCATATTCCGTCAGTTTTTCCGTTAATTAAATACAAAAATACATTTTTCTTTCCATAAACAAGGGTAAAATTGTCCTCACCCACTTCACCCCTTTTTCCCGCCATCAACTTAGTCCATAAGTAACAGTAGCAGCAACATGAATCTGAAAATACTTTAAATGATTAAGTTAAATAAAGAAAAAATATCGTGAACACATTATATTTCACAATTCCACAACTACTGTTGCTGTCATCTTGTGTCACTGGAAAAATTTAGAAAGACATATTAAATGGGTAGTCAATTTATAATGAGTCAATTTAAAATGAGCCATTCATCTTCTCTATTGAGCCAAAAAGAGCCATTCACCATTTTGGCTCATTATAAATTGACTACCCATTTAATATGTCTTTCTAAAATTTTCCAGTGATACAAGATGACAGCAACAGTAGTTGTGGAATTGTGAAATATAATGTGTTCACGATATTTTTTCTTTATTTAACTTAATCATTTAAAGTATTTTCAGATTCATGTCGCTGCTACTGTTACTTATGGACTAAGTTGATGGCGGGAAAAAGGGGTGAAGTGGGTGAGGACAATTTTATCCTTGTTTATGGAAAGAAAAAGGTATTTTTGTATTTAATTAACGGAAAAACTGACGGAATATGGACGGAAGGACGTCCAGCGCAAAGAAAGGTTGAAATGAGGGCAAAAATGTCAAAAAATGAAAGGTAAGGACGTTTTCCACAATAGACTTGAAAGGTAGGGACGTTTTGTGCCAATTACCCTTTAATTAACGGAAAAACTAACGGAATATGGACGGAAGGACGTCCAGCGCAAAGAAAGGTTGAAATGAAGGCAAAAATGCCAAAAAATGAAAGGTATGGACGTTTTTCACAATAGACTTGAAAGGTAAGGACGTTTTGTGCCAATTACCCAAATATATTTATATATTAACTGTTTTCTAGTATTAAGCAATAGGAATTATGCTATAAGTACACTCATTTTTACATCATCTTTGACACCTTTCTCACATCACACGAGTGAATTCCGTGATTAAAATAATTGCAGGGCCCATTCATGTGAGTGGGCTGTCAAACTGAGTACACATCACATGTTGTACACTCAGCATAATCCTGAACAATGGCCATCTTTATTGTAGCAATATCGCCAGAAATAAGAGATTAAATAAAAATTGGAATAAAATGAAACTAGCTATAAGTAACTAGGGTAGTATTAGCAAATAAACCAAGCCGATGAGCCTCTTTATACCCTACACGAAGCACACAAGGACAAGAGCCAACATTACATACAAATAACAATTGCAGAACTTCGGTTAAAGCATTGGGTGCCAAGGTTCAATCTGTTGGTTGTTTGTCCATATAATATATTTTGTTATGATAAAACAATAATTTATAATAAATAAACTGTAAATTTATTTATTTATTTCATCAATTTATTATTGAGTGTGCGAATTAAAGTGCCTATGATTACTTGTGGAATATAAATTGAGTACTTGCGTCGAGAAATATAGTGCGACACAACTTAAATTTTAATCATAAATAATTTGTTCACAATCAATGTATAAGGATTAGCACCTCGTATCAGAAGGTTGTAATGCTCACCAATTCACTATTTAGGTTTGTGATTTGTTCTTATCACAAAAATAGTTAAAGATGACATTAGTACACTTGGTGCATACTGCTCAGACAACTTGACGAGTACAATTATTTTCGTGATTTTAATGGCTATTTTATTCATAAGTGGGTAAGATCAATTTGATTGGTGAAATATCTCAATGAGTTGGGAACTTGAGAATAAGCGAAGTAGAGAACATGAATTCGTGTCAGAAACTGTGGTTTTGAAAATGAGTAGAGTGACTAATTAAGTATTTTTTGTTGAACGGTTAAAATTTGAGCTTAGTGTCTAATGACGGCTAAATTTCGACATTTATAATTAGTTCGCATGACCATAAAAAAAATAATACTTATACTAGTGAAAATAATTAGAAGGGCAAAACGGTTATTTATGCTCATACCTAAT